TCATGTCCACAGGTTCATTCTCACAAGAGTCATAATTTAGACACTTATGGACAACTTGGAGCAGAAGATGACAATGAACACAGCAAATCAGGATAGGTGGGAAAACAAAAAACCAGGCCTGGAAATGGATCTCAGAATTCTGAGAAGCTGGCCTCCCAGATGGACACTTTGTTCCTGTCTCTGTTTCTGTACTTCTATTTCTTTGTTCACTTGTTTATATTTTCAGATAAGGAAAAGTCTTATTTTCATTATTAGCTTTGAAGCAAGGCTGGCACAACATCTTTAAATTAGGAAAATGCAAATGGCTGTAGGACTGACAAACTCTGACATTGTGCTGTTCCTTACCACTATCTATGTCTCTGCTCAGCCTTGGAAGAGCTTCCTTCTGCTCTCCTGGGACAATGAACACAGGACAAGATACAGAAACTAACTGATGTACTGACCTGCAGAAAATTCAACAATATTTTTGCTGTTGTGATAGCCATGAGCATCCACCTGGGCTTCCCTTCTTGGTCACTGTGCCCTAAAAAAACCCATAATCAAGTTTTCATTCTCATTCTCATTTGTGGGATAAAATTTGTCCTAATACAACAACATTAAGGGAGAGTGACTTTACAGCTCAAGGTAAGTTCCATTAATGTTGGAACTCTCTTTGTAACCCAAGTGAGCTTTGAAGAAAGGGAATTTCAGACAATATGTTAGTGCTGTGTGACCCCTGTGAGCCTATTAAGAAAGTGATAAAACACTAAATTTCACTGGATTGGGATGGGATAGAAGAAGAGACAATCTTTTGAGTGATTTGAGATGTAAAGCATTGGCCATTACCTTGTGTGACAATAGAATGAAATCTGCCAGCCAGTCTTCTGGTTTTATGAACAATCTTGCCTCCTAGTCATAACTCAGGCTGATTATTGACCTGAACTAAAGTGATTCTTGCCAACAGAATCTACACAACTCAGTTATTTTGATGTTAGAGATGATGACTGTGCTGGGCAGAAGGATGACTCATCAGAACTCATCACTGAGAAGAAATACAGCTAGGCAGAGTGCTCTATTTTTTTTTCTTTTTTAAAGTTTTATTTATTTATTTTATATAATTTATATATAGAGAGAAGGGGCTGGTAGAGAGATCTTCCATCCACTGGTTCACTTACCAAATGGCCACAAAGGCTGGGGCTGGGCCAGGGCAAAACCAGGAGCCGGGAGCTTCTCCTGGGTCTCCCACATTGGGGTAGGGGTACAAGTACCGGGACCATCTTCCAATGCTTTTTCCAGGCCATTAGCAGGAAGCTGGATGGGAAGCTTAAGCAGCCAGGACTTGAACCAGTGCCCATAAGGGATGCCAGCACTGCAGGCAGAGGCTTAACCTTCCACTCCACAGCATCAGCCAAACAGTGTTCTTTTCTTCACTCTTGGGTTCCCTTGCCAGTAATTCTACCACTCTAACTACCCATAGCTGGCACTCTAGCCTTTGTGGGCCTCTGCTAGCTAGTTCTTGGATTGCTCACATGGAAAGAAAGAACCTCCAGAAAGATTAAGACATACATACATCTCTTCACCTCCTGGCCTATGTACCTCCAGAATTATCTTCCAGTTCTTTTCCCTACCTACTCTCAACCTCACTAATGACTACACACTGAATTGCCTATGCTAACTTTTTAAAAAATGCTTCTAAACTTTGCCTGTGCTTTTTCCTATGCCTAGAACACACCACTCTTTTACCCACACTTCCTCTCCTTTCACTTGGCCAAAATGATTCTGAGATTCTTTCTCCAACCTGCTAGTAATGGTTAAGTGGCCCATCAATGATTTGCTACACACTCGTCTGTCAAAGCCTTGAAATTGTGCATCTGATTCTCCTCCAGACAGCCAACTTTCAGGAACACAAACTGGTCCTAATCATTTCACCACCCCAGCAACTAACTGCATGTCTGGCACAAAGATGGCACAAAGGGATGTTTGCATACTCAGCAACGCTTCTCACTCATGGCACTATTGACATTTTAGATCAGACAATTCTTTATTATGGGGGCTGTTTTGTGTATTGCAAGATGTTTAACAGTATTATTGGCTTCTATCAAATAAATGTTGATAGAACACCCACTCCACAGATGTGACAAACATTACCAAATCTCTCAGCAGTTGTGGCAGAGTGTAAAATTGCCCCCACTTGAGAACCTCTGACATAAGCCATTGTTCAGTGCTAACAATAACAGCAGATCAGATTACTATTGTATGTTTGCTAAAACTAAGACTGCCAAAGCATCCAACTTTCAGCATAATAAATCTGGAAAGCAATTAACACTTTTCTAGGTTCCCCTTTGCACCATTGACAATAGGTCAGTATTGATCACTAATAGACAATGTTTACAAAGTCACAGAAATCTGGTTCTCAGTAGAACACAGTATTTGAAGACTTAGAATGGGGAAAGAAATAATTACTTTGTTTATTATGGTTTGATACAGAGGAGAATAATACTGGTCATAGACAAACATTTTTGTTTATCAAATGCTCCAAACATAGCTCTTTCCATTACCAGATAAACAACAGAATTGGGAGGTGTCCTGAGAAGTGAAGGAAGCATTTGAATCCCACACTGCCACTTCCCCAGCTAGAGACATTGCACATGTAACTGACCTAATATCTCACAGGGTTGTTGTGGGATTAAATGATGGCATGCTTGTAAAGTGGCACCTAACAGGTCCTCATCAGCTAGTCTTTGAACTCATTAAACTGACTTCTGAGACCATTACAGTCCTCCTAAGAATCACCCATGGCCTCAAAATAAATCATGAAACTAACACTAAAATATGAGTTCCTTGACTCTTGTCCAGGAGAAATTCTTCCCATCGAGCTAGATCTTTCTAATTCCAAATCAAGACCATAAGCGTTAGGCAGAAGCAGAAGAAAAAGAACCAAGGAAAAAAATTTAAAGCTGAACTACAGCCACTTGTGGACATGAAGGAAAGTAAAGACATAAAGGTGTATTTTTTTAAAACGAAAATGTCACACCTGTCCATGGGTAAGTGATTTAAGTCTCAATTCTGAATCACACTATGCAGTGTTAGTGAAAAGCTCAAGAAATACAAACTTCTGTGAGTGTTGGTGGCTTCTGATATTTAACACATTTAAGTTAGAAAGGTTCTGCCACTGGCATCAATGGGAGGGAAAAACTCCTTTTAATAAACAGTTGTTGGACATCCATTTGAACAGTGTGGCTCCCCGGGCTGCTTTAAGAATTCAATACCTGCCTTCTTAGATGCCAGCCTACGCTGGGAGGCAGACTGGTGAACTCCATGACTTCCCTAAGTCCTTCTTAGCCCTCTGATTTTGACTCTTTGATTTTCTCTTTATGATCTTCTAGGGAAGCAGAATGGAGCTGATTTATTCACATTAAATCTGTGGATACATTTTGAATAAGGTATAGAAGAGGGTTTTGAATGACTCTTCACTTATCTGAAGGCCTGCGACCTGTGAACTGCCCCAAGGCTTTCTCTGGGGTATTCCTCTGGCATATTCTCAACAAATTTAAACTCTTAAGCTCTCCACCCTTTGGATGAAGATTTCAGTCTTAGTAATTTACAGAACGAGTCTATCAGTTACCTACCAGGTGTGTACTTCTCTGGTGAAAAGGTGGAGCCAAAACATAAACAAAGAAAATAGTAAGGACAGGGCTTCATCAGGAATATCTCAATGTGCGTTGATCATCTGTGATCACCATGTGCTAAGCCCATAGCTCCACCACTAACCTCTGAACCGAGTTAGCTCACATTTTTTTAGCTGTCCTCTGTGCTTGTCAGGTAAGGGCTCTATTCAACACTGTGCTGCAAAAGAAGAGCTTGTCTGCGTCGTGGAGTGGCCATTTCACGTGTCCCACTCTAAACGCCATAAGCTCCAAACCATCCACATACATTCCTTTTTTATTCCTTAAAGAAATAGTAATTCTGCTATGATTGCAGTAATTTCTCTAGAAAGGCTATTTCTTGCAATTTGAGGAGAGACTCCTTTTTTTTTTCTCCTCTAGGGTACGTGTTGAATTTAGAGATTGTGGTTATGCCACAAGTAAGGTGGTGTGAATGCCTTGTGGAGAGGGAATTGCTGTTCCAGAAAAGACACACGATGGGGTTGTCTTTTTAACAATTACCAGTAAGTTGGTTTAGACCCAAATAGCTAAATTCCTCTTGCATTCATGTAGCCAAGCTTGTTTTAGTAAATCCCGTAGAGAAATAGCACCACTTAATAGTTTCTTTAGAAATAACACCCACAAATTGAAATGAAATATCGCTATTCATGAAAATAATCTTTTTGAAAGATGATTTTGCACTAAAGAAGAATACTTTGTTTTGTAATTTGTTTTTGAAAACATAATTTGGAATTTTATAATGGAATTTTGATCAAAAGTGCGAATAAGTTTTCTGCAAGTAAATACAAATCCTTATATGCACTCTATTTCAATAGTAATTATTTCCCTCAATCACAATGTTATGTGATTCTTGTTCTTGTAGATAATAGAGAAAGCTACTGTGAGACAACTACATCGACAAAACTTTCAAAACTTACTTTTTAATTTTATCAACAAATGCTAATTGAAACAAAATAAAAGTATATTCCCTTTTTTGTTGCCGTACTCCAAAAAGAAAAGGAAAAAAAATAAGTCGAGAATGTTCAAAATGCACTCATTAAAATATCTATTGTGTGTCTCACTCACAGTGTTACCAGAATAACATGTACAAAGACAGTTCAAGAAAAGAATTATCCAGCAGAAGACACTGCCCTCTTAAGGGTCACCTTTATTACACCCATTAATATTGTAACAATTAACGATGTTATTAGTTATGATAATAAGAATGCTATAGCAAGCCAACCACCAAGTTTCACGACTTAGCCCAATAAAATTTAATTCATGAGCACATAACAGTCTAATTCCACCACCCCCACCACCCCCCCGGGAAACTTTCGACATTGTAATTTACAGACAAAAGCATATTTAAAGGCTCACCCTGCCCTTCCACAGGGTCTTGAAGGAGTCCTCTTCAGCCAGGCAATGCCAAATGACAAGGAGGTTCATGTGCTAAGACACGTTTAAGGGCAGGTCTAAAAGTCGTACCTACGGCCTCTATTTATCCACCATTGACTAGAGCTTGTTCACACGGCCACGGATAACTGCAAAAGAGAATAGGAAATGTAGTAAGGCCGTGTGTCCAGGAGAAAGGGTAAAATATTTGGTTAGCAAGAAGCTGTAAAATGAGTTAGTGGTAAGACCACTAGAGGGAAAATTAAAAGCCAGAATTTTGAAATTTGTAATGCTATTAACTAGTATATTATGTGACACAAATCTTATTTGGGGGCTACAATTTTTGTAGAAGAGAAGGTAAGCATGAAATTCTGATCCTGTGTCAGGAAGGCAGGAGTACAAATTTACAGTTTAATTGCAGTAACGTTCTAAGGTTATGAAAAATATGGTTGTTTTCAAACTAGAACGTGCTATAATAAGAATCAGCTTTAAACATATTTCCTCAACAGCTTTATTGAGGTTTAATTGACATACAACAAACTGCATATATTTAATGGTACAGTTTGACAAGTTTTGACATATACATGCATTCATGAAGCCTTCACTTCAAGATAAACATATCCAGCACCCCCATGGATTCCCCCTGCCACACTGGAAACTTTATGAAAAATCTTCAAAAATTTTATAGAAAAGGCATTTTATGAAAAGTACTAAGAATAAACTTCAAAATTTTTTGCACCAAAAATCTTTGAATTCCATTTCCCATAAATTTTTTGAAGTACTCTGCTATGTTTACATTTTGCTTATATAAATATGTGAGAGTGGAATGACTGTATTATACCATGTTTAAGTGCATATTTAAATCCACACATACAAAGGTTCTTCAAAAAGTTCATGGAAAACATATATTATGAAGACATTGGATATGCATTTTAATTCCATTTGTCTATGAATTTTTTTTTTTTTTTGACAGGCAGAGTGGACAGTGAGAGAGAGAGAGACAGAGAGAAAGATCTTCCTTTTGCTGTTGGTTCACCCTCCAATGGCTGCCACGGCCTGCACACTGCGGCCAACGCACCGTGCTGATCTGAAGGCAGGAGCCAGGTGCTTATCCTGGTCTCCCATGTAGGTGTAGGGCCCAAGCACTTGGGCCATCCTCCACTGCACTCCCGGGCCACAGCAGAGAGCTGGCCTGGAAGAGGGGCAACCGGGACAGAATCCGGCGCCCCGACTGGGACTAGAACCCGGTGTGCCGGTGCCGCTAGGTGGAGGATTAGCCTATTGAGCCGCGGCGCTGGCCTGTCTGTGAATTTTTTAAAGTACCCTGATTCACTTTTGTTCCTTTCTTCTACCTTTTCTCATTTCCTTTAGGTTAATTGATCAATTTTATTGTTGCTTTTTATCTATTCTATATTATTATTATTATTTATAACATTAAGTTTTCAGCAGTTGCTATAGAATTTTTTAATGCACATTTTTAATCCAACCGAGCCTACTTTCAGCTGTAGTATCAGAATTTTACGAATTTTATGAATATGTTCCCAATTTCTTTCTCACATAATATTATTACCATTTTTTATTTAAGAATATCTTTCAGGGGAGTGTTTGGTGAAGCCATTAGGATCCTGCTTGGGTGGCTTGAGTGTCAACTCCACTTCCAATTCCAGCTTCCTGATTAATATCATAATTGTTCTGCCTAGAAAACCTGTCTTAAAATGTTCTACAGGGCAGGTTTATTAGGGATGAATTCCCTTCATTTTGGTTCTAAGAAACGTTTTCCTCAATTTTAAGGGGATGTTTCTCTGGGCATAGAATTCTAGGTTGACAAGTTGTCTTGTTTTTTTGTTTTCTTCCTTCCAACATTCTAAAGCTGTCTCTTACTAATCTTCCTGCTTGGGTGGTTTCTGATGAGAAGCCTCTTCTAATTATTATTCTGGCTTTTTTTTTTTTGTAGGTAATATACCTTTTTTCTTCAGGCTGTCCTCAAAACTATCTCTTGGTATTTCAGTTTCAGTGATCTCAATATAAAATTTCTAGGTGTGGTTTTGATGGTATTTATCCTACATACTGCTCTCTGATTTTCTTGGATTTGTTGGCTTAGTGTCTATCAATAATTTTGGAAGAATTTTAGCTGTTAGTTCTTCAAATATTTCTGCTGCTCATCCTCCCTCTTACTCTTCCAAAAATACAATGTTGAGGAGATTTCTAAAGATTCATGGAATGGAATTCAAGGGTTCTGTCTGACAGTCTCTGTCTCCCAGCCTTGTAATTTCAAAAACTGAAACCAATAAAGGGCAGTTTTGTGAAACTTTTGATCAGAAATCATCAGGCATCTACCTCATAGTCCTGAACTGGCTCCTTCTCACTTCTGACTTCTTTATGTTTTCTAGTCTTAAAAATATTTAAAGAAGACTTACCTTTCTGTAGTCAATAATATAAAAGGACTACTAGACACAGACTGAAGACAGAACCTTTTTTTTTAAGATTTACTTATTGTATTTGAAAGGCAGAGTTACAGAGAGAGGAGAGACAGACTGAGAGAGTGATCTTCTATCAGTTGGTTCACTCTCCATTGGCCTCAGCAGCTGGTGTTGGGCCAGGTCAGAGCCAGGAGCCCAGATCTTTATCTGGGTCCCCAACATGGGTGCAGGAGCCTAAGAACTTGGACTATCCTGCACTGCTTTCCCAGGCCATCAGCAGGAAGATGGATCAGAAATGGATCATCCTGGACTCGAGCCAGTGTCCATATGGGATGTCAGCACTGCAGGCAGCGAGCTCCAACAGATAGAACTTATATAGGCTATTTCTCTCTACAAATGTCTGCCACAGTCAGGACTGGGTTAGCCTGGAATCTGGAGCTTGGAAAATTTGGGTCTTTATGTAAGTGGCAGGAATCCAAGTCCTTTGAGCCATCATCTGCTACATTCCAGGGTGTGCATTAGTAGGAAGCTGGCATCAGGAGCAAAGTCTCTCCTCAAACCCAGACACTCCAATATGACATACAAGCATCCTAACTGGTGTCTTAACCAATAAGCCAAAGACTTGCTCCCAAATCATGCTTGTTTGGTAAGGGGAATCAGCAAGGAGTATCACCATGGTCGAGAAGGACTCTGGTGAAGTTTTCCCAGAAATATTTTTGTGTTACAACTTGCACCTACTTTCTCCAAAACTCTCACAACAACAGCTATTATCACTCTTTGGGCCTCCATATACTCAACAAACAAAATGCCCGGAGCATCAAAAAAACAGAACAAAAACAAAACTGCTGCTATGGTCTTGGTTTTTGACCAATCTATTTTGCATTCACCAGCTCACTTCCACTTCTTTGTAACCATTGCTTTCATTCTATTCTGTCTTCAGAATAACACTGACAAAGCCATGTTTTATCTCCTGCTACAAATCTTTGACAAAATGTTTCAGGATCCTTGTCACACTTGCCAAAAATTTCCACTGAATGTTCTATTCTTGTCTGCAACTGATCTGGGCACAACAGTTTTGGCACCCATTGAGCAGAAAGTTTGCTTAACTGTAATTTTCCAATCAGGATGATGTCAGCTAAAACAATTGAGATGTCTCTGGTGTTGACTATTATTTCTGCTGTCAATTGTGGGTCCTCTTCAATTAGGACATAAACAAGGTTAATTTTTTCCTCACAAGTTGATGTGGATGGCTGCTGCTGTGGGCTTTATTTTCAAAATCATCTCATCACTCCTTAAAACGAGTTACCCAGCCGGCTCACTAGGCTAATCCTCCGCCTGTGGCACCGGCACACCAGGTTCTAGTCCCGGTTGGGGCGCCAGATTCTGTCCCGGTTGCCCCTCTTCCAGGTCAGCTCTCTGCTGTGGCCCAGGGAGTGCAGTGGAGGATGGCCCAAGTGCTTGGGCCCTGCACCCCATGGGAGACCAGGAGAAGCACCTGGCTCCTGCCATGGGATCAGTGCGGTGCGCCGGCCGCAGCGCGCTGGCCACGGCGGCCATTGGAGGGTGAACCAACGGCAAAGGAAGACCTTTCTCTCTGTCTCTCTTTCTCACTGTCCACTCTGCCTATCAAAAAACACAAAAACAAAATCAAGAGGTACCTATTTGTAAACTGCTGATCTCTTCGGGGATTTCTCCCCATAAACTTTTCAGAAAGTGTCAACGATTTCACAAGGCTTCCACTCAAGATCCACCACAAATTTTATGTCTTCTCTTGCTTCAATTTTGCCAGAATTTGTGTTGTTCCATTAGAGTCTCTTTTCAAACTAATGTCTTATTCTTCATGGTGCTTTGACAAGTTATAAGAAGTTAGCATATTTTGATGCAAAAATTAATTCATGAATAATTTTTCATAAGATATATTTCCCTTGAATGATTTGATGATCCCTGGTGTGTCTACATTAAATCATTTGGTATTATTGCACCTCTCAATGCTCTTTTATGTTTTTATTTCCCCCCCCTCACTCTTTGTACTTTGTGAGTGAGCTTGTGCTTTTTATTAGCCACTCTTCAGGCTCACTGGTTCTTTCTTTGAGTCAAATCCACTGATGTGCCATAAGACATTCTTATTTATGCTACCATTTTTTTCTTACATGTCCATTTAATTATTTCTTGTTTCTGTTTCTCTGTTGAAATCACCCATCTGGGGTTGGGATTTGGCACAGAGGTTAAGCTGCTACCTGGGACACCTGCATCCCACGTCACAGTGTCTGGGTTTAAGTCCCAGCTGCATCCTGGACTCTAGCTTCCTGCCAAAACAGACCCTGGTTCAGACTGTCCCAGTTCTGGCTATGGTAGCTTTGGAGGGTGAACCAGCAGGTGGGAGATGTGTGTGTGTGTGTGTGTGTGTGTGCTCTCTCTCTCTCTCTCTCTTTCTTTGTCTGTGTATGTGCCTGTTCTTCAAATAACTAAATGAATAATTTTTTTTAAAAAAGAAATTACCCATATAATCTTACATGCAATCTAGCTTTTCTATCAGGGCATTTAACATGTTAACCATTGTATCTTTTCAATTTTGTCAAATAGTTCTAATAATAGTGTCATAAGTGAGTATAATCCTGGTGATGGTTTTTCTCCTCAGAATATGTTTTCCCTGCTTTTTGCTTTTTTGTGTCCTCATCTTTTTTTTAACCAATAGCTCATTAGTGAGAAGTTTATGTCAACCTGGACAG